GTAGTAAACGCGCACGGAACTAGTTAAGGAGGCTCCTGGGAAGGGTCGGATCTCAAGGGAGAAAGGTGCCTCTGGCTTACTGTGCTCACAGAGACATGGGCTGGCGACAGAACAAGACTGGAGCAGAAACTCACCCTCCCCGTGGTCACCCAAAGGAAACCAGGAAGCAGAAAATCGGGGAAAGCCACGTTCACGGAGCTGATGTGGAGAAGAGCGCAGGGCGCTGGCTGCCACCATTGTCATCACGGAAGCCACTGCCACGACGCTGGAGGTGGCAGTGACACCACCAGGTGGGGGACAGGGCGTCACATGGGGACTCCGGGCCACATCTGGTCCGTGAGATGCCGAATCTTTTGCCGTGCCCTCAGCTCCCCTTGCTGGATGCCCATTCTTCAAATCCACGCTGGGTCCATCACTCGGAGGGAACCTGCTCCACTCCGTCTGCCCCAGGACAGAACAGGGTGGGAGAGCCGGCTCTCCCTCCAGCAGCACGGGGGCTGTTGCAGGAACTGGCCGTCACTGTCGATCAACTGGAAAACCCAGCTAATTTGGACTAATTGGAGGGAGGAGTGTCTGAATGACTTCCAACCCCATTTTTAAATGAAATATAGGTTTTTTTTTTTTTTTTTTTTTTTTTTTTTTTTTTTTGCTTTCAAGCACATACAGTGACTCAAACTGGTGCAGTTTGGTAAGTGAATGAGAGTGATAATTAGCATCTTGTCGCTTCGGAGGGAGACGCAAGTGCTCAAGGAGAGATTTTTCTTTCAAGAACCGGGCAAAAGCAAACTCCAACATGGCCCTGTCAAACTCCTCACTGTGGGTCTCAGAGGCGCCTGGTACTTGGCTGCAGGCTCAGGTGACCGGGGGCGGGGCGGGTGGCCGCGTGCTCCCCTGAGGGCCATCTCCAAACACCAGGGCTGGGAGAGAGCGGCCAGGCTCACGGAGCACAGCCCCGTGACCTCCCGGTTTCTCTTGCGCGCTCTGCGCTTCTGGGCCTTTGGCTTAGCGTTTTCAACATAAGGAGAATCCGTTAAGCCCTCGCATCCTCGCCTTGTCATTTATTATCACCACATAGCAATGCTGGGCTACGAAGGCCAATCAATCACTCGGATGGGCACTGACTCCAGGCCGGATTAATTTCATTATCATCCTTAAGCAGAGAGGTGTCTAGCACGGCCGAGGGCCCCCTGAAGAGCCATGTTCTCTCTCTCCTGACAGCTCATCCCGTGCCTGGGGGACCGCGCTGTTGGTCCTCTGACTTGTGCTGCCTTTCCCTATCAATGGCAGTGAATGGCCTCACTCCCTTCCTTTAGCCCCCCACATCCCCATGCCACACTGGAGACACCTGGCCAGGAAGAGCTGAGCAAGGTGAACGCCAAAGGAGGGCATCTGTGCCCATGTCCCTTCTGAACGTGCCCAGAGAGGAGGTGGCCTGCAGGTGCGGAACCTTGCCCTTCACAATGCTGACATTACCAAGCCTGACTCTGAGCTCTTCTGCCCAACAGGACAGCACCTCCCACTCCAAGTACCTTCTGTCCATTGCGTTCCCTGGGGAGTGGCATTTCTCCCCGTGCAGCCCTCAGCACCCTTAAGGCCAAGGCCATGTTTTGAAAGCTCCCTGGGGATCTTCACAAGCACCCCCCACCCCAGCTGAGAGCAACAGTTTTCCAAGTCGGGAAAGTCTGAGCTCCAGGACGCCAAGCACAGGAGCGCCTGTCACCCAGGGCTTTCTCTGCCGAGTCCCTCTCCGCACCCACGCAGGTGCCACCAGTGCACTCAGCTCCATACAGGGCCTGAGACACGTGAGCCAAAGAGCCCAAGGACGAGGCCATGGCCAGGAAGCGCTGCTCTAGAACATTCCCAGCTTCCTCCTGGGTAAGGGCAGGAGCCTGGTAGAGCCCCAAGGCCCGCCCGGTGCAGATGCGCCTTGCTGGGACTTTGGCGGGAAAGGCGCCTGCCTTCCCAGGTCGCAGGAAGCTGCTGCTCCTCCCGTCTTCTGTCACAGAGCATCTGTGCGCGTCCCAGCCACCCCCTCCCTCGCCCAGCACGGCTCCCGCCCACACAGCTCAGCCTCCGTTCCCAGAGCATCTCCAACTCCATTCACAAGTCTGCCTCCCCAGAGCACTGCTTTTTTTTTTTTTTTTTTTTTTTTTTTCTGGACAGCGCCATCCTTTACCGGAAATTCTCCAGCAGCTCCCCCACGGAGCTCCTGATAGCTACACCCCATGCACAACCACTGGAGTTTTTCTCCAACACCAATCTCCCCCTGCTTTCTGCCCTCCAGGGGCTTCCTGCCATTTAGAGATAAAGTGCAAACTCCCAAAGCGGCCAGCCAGGGTCCCGCGCGCTCCGCATCCCACCTTCTCGCCTCCCATGCGCCACTGCGTGGGCCTTTCTCTCGGGGGAGCCAACCCTTGCGCTGGGTAAGCCACGGACCCATTTGGGTGCAAGTCTGGCTCCCCTGCTGACCAGCTACAGTAAGCTTCCCTGAGCTGTCTGTGAAGTAGGCTAATAGTGGTACCTGCCACACAGGACGGCTGTAGCTAGACGGAGCTCCAGTACGGGACGACACTGAAGACGGTCCCGGGCAGGCAGTCGATGCTCCCCAAGCACTGGCTGCCGGTGGCTCTCACTGCAGCCCGGCCCCTCCTACGTTCTGGCCCAGCCTAAGTGTCGGTCCGGGAGCAAGCATTCAGCTTAGCAGGTAACGTGCCTGCATCCCAGGGCACAGGGCCTGGATTCCATAGTCGGCTCCAGCTCCCTGCCAGTGCAGACCCTCAGAGCAGCAGTGACTGTGCTCTGGGGGACAGATTCCGGCTCCTGGCCCCAACCTCAGCTGCTTGTGGGCACCGGAGGAGTGAACCGGCAAATGCCATCTTTCTCTTTGTCTGCCTTGCAAATAATAAAAAACTTTTAAGGGACAACAAAGTGACACGTCACTCCGTTGCACACCAGGCGGGCTCTCTCTTCCCTGCTGGAGGTGCAGGTCCCCTCTCCCAGCCTAGCTAAGTGCGCCTCAGTGTTCAGTCTCAGCTCAGCCTCTGCTTCCTCCAGGAAGTCTTCTCAGATGTGCTAAGCCACAGCACCGCTATGCACTGAGGTGTCACCTCATTACCTGCGCGCCCTTCCTTCCTCCACTTCCTTCCTGGGGCTGCAGGCATTGCTCCATCTCCCACGCATCCCAGCTCTCAGCACCCTGCAGGTATTCAGTGGCCGAGCTGCTGGACAAACCCCCACGGCCCAGGGCATTCCAGAAGCTCCGCCCTCTGGCCCCGCCTCTCCTCTCTCTTGTCGGGTGCAGGCTTCCCTAGCACTTGGCTCTCTGAGAGTCACACACACCCCCTCGCCGACCTCAGCAATCACCCAATGGCGCCATCACTGACCATTGCAAACAAACAGGGAACGGAGAACATCTTCAGCAACAGGAAGCCTACACCAAAGGTTACAAGGTCTGCTGTGAACACGTGGAGCTAGGTGAGGTGTAGGACCCTGTCTGCTTTCTCTGACATCAGGGCATGTGGCACCCGCAGGCCAAGCTAAATGCTTCGTCTCCTGGGGCTTCACTAGGGACGTGTTCTGTTGGGCCAGAGGAACCCAGAGAGGCAAAGCTTGCAGTGTGCACTGCGGCATGGAGAGCAAGCGAAGCCGCTGGGGCAGGGGTTGGGGTCGGCGATATATGTGGGTATGGCATGAGCGAGTCACCCAAGGGTTCGTCTGAACGGGCAGCAAAGAACTTATGCCTCAGAAACGAGCCATCTGGGGCTGGTGCTGTGGCGTGGCAGGTAAAGCCGCCATCTACAGTGCTGGCATCCCATATGGGCACTGGCATGAGTCCTGGCTGCTCCACGTCTAGTCCAGCTCTATGTTATGGCCTGGGAAAGCAGTGGAAGATGGCCCAAATGCATGGGCCCCTGCACCTGCGTGGGAGACCCAGAGGAAGCTCCTGGCTCCTGGCTCTGGACCGGCACAGCTCTAGTCATTGCGGCCATCTGGGGAGTGAACCAGCAGATGGAAGACCTTTCTCTCTGCCTCTGCCTCTGTAACTCTGCCTTTCAAATAAATAAATACATCTTTAAAAACAAAAAAAGAAAAGAAACGAAACAAGCAATCTGCAAGCCATTCCAAGAAATGAGTGGAAGTCCTGGAGTTTCTAAAAAGAGTTTACCTGGCATGGCCAGCATCATGGTGCAGCAGGGAAAGCACCTCCTGCCCCGCCCCGTAATAACACCAGAGCCCTGGTTTGAGTCCCAGCTGTCCCGCTTCTGATCCAGTTCCCTGCTAATGCACCTGGGAATGCAGGAGATGACAGCCCGAGTATTTGGGCCCCTGTAACCCACATGGGAGACAGGATGGAGCTCCTGGCTCCTGGCTCCTGGCTTTGGCCTGGCCCAGCTCCAGCCCCAGCTGTTGTGGCCATTTAGGGAGTGAACCAGCAGATGGAAAATCTCTCTCTCTCCCTTCCTCTTTCCCTCTGTCACTCTGCCTTTCAAATCAATAAATCAATGTTTTTTTTTTTTGTTTTTTTTTTTTTTTTTTTGACAGGCAGAGTGGACAGTGAGAGAGAGAGACAGAGAGAAAGGTCTTCCTTTTGCCGTTGGTTCACCCTCCAATGGCCGCCGCTGCAGCCGGCGCACCGCGCTGATCCTGGCAGGAGCCAGGATCCAGGTGCTTTTCCTGGTCTCCCATGGGGTGCAGGGCCCAAGCACCTGGGCCATCCTCCACTGCACTCCCTGGCCATAGCAGAGAGCTGGCCTGGAAGAGGGGCGACCGGGACAGAATCCGGCGCCCCAACCGGGACTAGAACCCGGTGTGCCGGCGCCGCAAGGTGGAGGATTAGCCTATTGAGCCACGGCGCCGGCCCTCAATGTTTTTTTTTGTTTTGTTTTGTTTTGTTTTTGTAAAAAAAGAAAGAAAGAAAAGAATGTACCTGGTGCTGGAGACTCCCTAGCCCAACTCGGATTCAGGATGAGGATGGAGACATTGGGGTGTCTTGTTCTTACCTCATAGTGGCCAATGGTGTTCAGCTTGGTTATTCCATCCTCAAGAATCACGGAGGAACTGTCAATATCCAGAAGTTCTTTTTGGCGTGTGCCCACCTGAAGCTCTGCAAAAGAAGAAGAAAAAAATGTGGGCCCCTTGGACAGTCACACTCCTTTAACTGCTTCCTCTGCTGCTTTCACAACTAGAAGTGAGTAAAAGGTGCATCAGGTGGTGAATCTTGGTCTGCAGATTTGAAGATCTGGTGGCCTGAGGTTAGCTTATTTTTGTTTTGTGTTCAGGGTTCAGATTTTTTTTTTTAAAGGACTTTTTATTTGAAAGGCAGGGTTACAGAGAGAGAGGGAGAGAAAGATTTTCTATCTGCTGACTCACTTCCCAAATGGCCACAACAGCCGGGGCTGGGTCAGGCCAAAGCTAGGAGCTAAGAGCTTCTTCTGGGTCTCCCATGTGGGTGCAGGGGCCCAAGGACTTGGGCCAGCTTCTACTGTTTTCTCAAGTGCACTAGCAGGGAGCTGAATTAGAAGTGGAGCAGCTGGGACTCGAACTGGTGTCCACATGGTAAGGGGAACCCAGTCTGGTGCAAACCAAGAACAAGCATGAGGATGCTCCTGCCAACCCAGAGGCGGTGCAGAGGCTGCCGGGCTGTTTTCCCTGCGGGGTTGGGTGGGGCTGCCCAGGTCATGTGGTCAGAGCCACACAGTGGCAAGATGTGTGTGCAGGGCCAGGAAGTTGTTGGTCTAGGTCAGGTCATGGTTTCCTGGCTGGGGCTGCTCCTGGACCCCATCTCTAACCAAATGGGCCACAGTGGACTTCAAGCCGCCCTACAGCGCGTCTGATGGGCGGGAATGGAAACGGGGTGCATAGAAGGCACGCCAGTGGCCCTGCTTTCTCTGGGGCAGGTCATGAAGTCACGACACATTTGCACAGTGGCACGCAACGTCCCACACTGTGGCTCAAGGCTTTTCAAAGTCTGGCTGGGAGAGGGGAGAGTTGAATTGTCTGCTGTGGGGATGCCCACAGCTGAATACCAGGGGGAGCTGAGCCCCATTACACTGGCACTGCTGCCATTCGCTCCTCTCTCCTGTCCCATATCTGTCACAGAACCCCACCACAGCCTCCTGGGACCGCAGCGTGTTTGGAACCCAACTTTAAAAAAACAGGTCGCTGCATACGGGAGTGAAGTGGAGCCCCGTTAGCTCGCTCACGCATCTGCTGCCTTTGCAACACACCAGAAAAGCCTCGCAAATGAACATGGAGGAAGACAACCCTCCCAGCTGGCTGGGGTCAACAGCCGGAGCCGTGCACTAAGGACGCGCTCAGAATCAAATGCCAGTGTGCACGGCGACACGCACAGAGGCCAAAGAGTCCTCACCTTCCTGTACCGCCTGCTGCGAGGTGATGGTGGGTGGCCTCAGGGGCAGCAGGTTCCTGCATCCCATTTACAAATCTAATGTTTGCAAAGCCACACTGTGGAAGCATCCCGCTTCCCGGGAGGCAGCTGCACGCTCCAGAGAGCAAAGCTGTCCCTGGGCCCCTGGACTGCCCTCTCTCTGCGAGCGGCCCGGCCGGCCAGCCTCGCCAGGCAGGAGCTGCTGGGGTGCGGGGAGGGAGGGACACTCATGGCGAGATCCAGGGGTCCGTGACACAAAGCAGCTCGCCAGCACCTTACCGAGCCCGATTTCATTGAGCTGAAGTCCATAGGGAGAGCCATTCTTGCTGAGGAATGCCTGGAAAATCTTTTCTTTGGCTTGGCCTATGGTATCGCAATCGAGAACAGTGACCGAAATATTCCGACAGACATCTGCGCTCTCATTTTCTGGGATTTTTTCAAAGATGACGTTGAGTGCCTGCGAGAATACAAACAGGTTTCCAAGACGATCAGGTAATAGCAACCTGCAAAGACCCAAACCCCAGCACGTCCCGCTCACACCCCCGACGGCGCGGCGGCCACCTCTGATCGCCCAGTACTGCTTTCATCTTTTCTCTGTGATCTGTTCTTTTCAGGGACAATGGAGAGGAAGACAGAAAGGTGGAGTTCTCATCTTACCAAGTGAGCACCGAACAGACGTATCGGAGAGGAAAACATCTAGACACACACAAAAGATTCTAAAGATGGGGATTTCTAATTTCATTCTCATACATCAAGAACACCATGATCACACACACACCAACCCACAAAGAGCTGGAAAGGTTCCAGAGATGACGAAGGTTGACTGGTGATCATTTGATCATGGCTGCATGGCTGCCAGACAGGGCCTCGGAGTGTCAGAAGTGAAGTCCCAGGTGACAGCAAAGGTCACGAGGTCCCCGTATTGACCACACCAGAAGAGGTCACTTTTTAATATGCAGCATTAATCACCAGAACATGCATCTCCCCTTCCGCGGCTTTCCTGAGGCCTCATTAAAGCACTGAGCTCCCACCCCGCACTATCATTCTTGCATTAATTATTCTGTGTTTCCGTGCCATTCCTGAACGGTTGTCAGGTGACATCCTCCCAGCGCAGCTAAACCTCAGCATCACACTACCGGGGGTGTGGCCTTGGCACCTGTGTGAGCGCTCAGAGCGAGGGAGTCTTGCAGACCGGCTTTCTCTAAGCGCAGACGCATCTCAGACTCTAACACAGCGCGGGAACGGACTCCATCAAGAGCTTGGAGCATTCTGTAACCCGCACGACACAGCCGAGATTCTGTGGCGCCTCTGACATCACCGGTGGGAAATGCACAAGGATTTACTATCGCTGAGCCTGGCTTCAGAAGCAAATGGCAAATGATCAAGGTAATCAGGATAGTAAGAAATAAAGTCACAAATAATACAGTGCACGGGAATCCTCAGGAGTTCAAATTTAAAAATGGGTATAATTAAGGGGAGACCTGCTTCCTAGCCTTGGTAAGAAGATTAAATGAGATAATGCATTAAGGGCTTAGCACAAAGACGGGCTTCTGGGCAGGGCTCAATGGCCATGACGGTCATCATAGCTTACGAACCTGTTAAATGATCGTTATTGCTAGTAGTGGGATGCCTTCACTCAAAAACAGAGGCTCAGTCCATGCTGACTGGTAGGACTCTGACCCCATAGCAGCATGGCCCTCAGAGCAAGGGGGAAGCTAGCAGCAAGCGGAATGGGGCAGACCCCTGGGGGTTTAACCCCAGTCCACCACAGAACAGCTGGGTAACTTCTCAGCCCACCACCCTCCAGCAAGGCAGACTCTGTTTGTCACCTGCAAAGTAGATGAACAGTTTCTGCCCCAGGAGGTTCCAGGGATCATGCATAGATTTAACCGCATGGTCCCCAGAACAGGGTCTGGTTCCTGAGCACTTGGGAGACAGGACCTAGGGGTGCCACCGACACCGTGGACCTGGGGCTTCTGAAACACTGGGAAGGATCTCGGGGCCACATTTTCCCTTGAACGCTGCCACAGCCTGGATGTCTGTGTCCTCCCAAGCTCGTCACACTGACATCTGCGACTCCCAAGGTGGTGGTACGTGGAGGTGACCTTAGAGTAGAGTCCTTAATCATGGGATCCGTGTCCTTGTGACAGAGTCCCTGGAGAGCCATGTGGCTCCGGCCAGCTCAGGAAGATGCTGGGAGATAGCCCCATCTGTGGGAAAGCTGGGCCTCCCCAGACACGGAATCCACCCCACGTCTTTGAACTTGGACTTCCCAGCCTTTGCAACTTTGAGAAATCAATGTTTGCCCTTGCTAAGCTGCCCAGTCTACAACAGCCTGGAAGGACTAAGACAAAGGCCTTTCAGGCTTGCCCCTAGGATCCAGCCTAAAATTCTGCAAGAGTGAACTTGGGCCCAGTCCGAACCAAAAGATCAGGACTCCACAGCAGCGCAATCTCATCTCTGAGCTAACCAGTGGTGACCTCAGTGAGGCCTTCAAGGATTCTTTCTGGAACAGAGTCACTCCTTTGCCTGCTAGGACATCTGTGCCTCCCAGCAAGGGGTCCAAATGCCTTCCAGCTCATAGACGCAAAACACCACACAGGAGAGGAGGCGGGGAGTGCCGGGTGCAGAGCACAGCCATTGGGCACATCCAACGTGGGGCAGCCTCATACACGAGCCCTCTCCCTTGCATCCCTGTCTTAAGCCACATTCATGGGGGCCTCTGGGGCCACCCTGCCAATGTCCGGGGACAGACAGCTGTGTGATGAGCATCACCGCCACTGAACCGAGCCGCGGGGTCTGGAGGACGTGGCTAGAACTCGCCGTACCCGTTCACACGAGTCAGCCTGCTTGTGGTGGGGAGCGAGTGCAGTGCGGTGACTGCGCAGGGCTTTCCCAAGACAGAGATGCCTGGAAAGCCCCTCGCGGTGAGCACGGCGGTGATCCCAGGCTGCTGCATAGCTTTGTGGGTATCTGTGAGCCAGCACGCTCTTCCTGCCTAAAGGGCACGCTGTCTTGAACAAAAACACCTCTTTACAAGGCAATACATGTTCTTCTTAAAAACATAACCGAAAGGAAAAAAAAAACAAAAACATCTTATGGGGATGTAAAGCAGTGTAAACCTGCTGGGGCCTCCAGAGCCAGACCAAGGGCAGGGGGACTGCACGGCATTGGGCAGCCTCCTGGGGAGTTCCCAGGGTAAATTCAGATACAAACTGATGTGCACGCATTTCTTGTGCTGCTACCACTCAGTGCTCAGACAGCAGTGTCCTACAGCCTCAAGTATGGGGTTCCCAGTGCCTGCCCTGCCTCCCAGCTCCCCAAAGACACCTTTGCCCACTGCTCCCACCGGAAGCACCATCTCCCCGGCTGCCCCCACCTGTCCCCACCAACACCCACTTAATGAGAGACTTCTCTGTGCCCTGTCCGCCATGTAGGGCTGGGGGACAGGTGAGGCCTGAAGACATGGCGCTTTTTCTCAGATAATTCACAGTGCACTTAGGAGACAAAAGCATCAGTGTGACTAATAGTCAAGCATCACGTGGAACGGCCTCAGGAATTCTGGGTAGGGGGGACAGCAGGCGGAGGGTCCCCGGTGCCACCTGGACTGTCCCAGTCTCTGTCACTCACTAGCCGTGGAAATGTGGGCAAGTCAGCTAACTTCTCTGAGCCTTAAAATTCTCATGGTTCCCACATCAAAGAGTCACAGCCTCACTACACGGTGCCACGTAATAACAGCAAATGCATGCATGTTTTCTGTACACCACCCACCATTCGAAAACCCTGTGTATAAAATACATACGTTAACCTCAGAAACAACCCTACGAGATGGCGTCTCTCCTTAGTCCCATTTCACAAATGGGAAACTGAGGCACACACCGGTTAAACACATTGTACAGGGTTACTCAGCAAGAAAATGCTAGAACCAGTCACCCTAGCTTCACGTTCTCAAACGCTTGGCGATTTTGCCTTTCAAAAAAACATGACACTGTTTTGCAAAGGAAGCTCAGTCCAAATCCATAGCGATTAGTTTCAATTCCTGCAGAAAGCTAAACGTGCACTAAAACAGATACTGGCCTCTTACCCAGAAATCTGCACCCCCGTGAAGAGGAACTGTGCGCGCTCTCGCGGTTTCCTTGGCATCAAAGTGGCAGCCAAGAAGTGGGCGTGAGCTTCGGCTGGGGGGCTGCCAGGCCACAGCGCCGGCCCTGACACCCATTTACTTTGCACCTACTGTGCCCGGGGCTCTGCAGTTGATCCAAGGTACAGCCTGGCAGTCATCCTATCTGGGAAGTTCCCAAACCAGAACAAACTGGGGGACCCACACATCAAATGCTAATGGCAGGCAGAATGTGGTGGGGGTAGGTGGGTGCTTGAGGGGTTCAGAGAGACGGCACCTCTAGCTTGAATGGGTTTTTAAAGTTATTTTCAGGCCCAGCATTGTGGTGTAGTGGGTAAAGATACCACCCGTGGTGCTGGCATCCCATATGGGTACCGATCTGTGTCCCAGCTGCTCCACTTCTGATCCAACTCCCTGCTAATGGCCAGAGAAAGAAGCAGAATATGGCCCAAATGTTTGGGCCCCTGCCACCCACACAGGAGACCCAGAAGAAGCACCTGACTTCTGGCTTCAGCCTGGCCCAGCCCTGACCATTTAAGCCAGCTAGGGAGTGAACCTGCAGATGGAGGATCAGTCTCTCCATCTCTCTATAACTTGATTTTCAAATAAATAAATCTTTAAAAAATTACTTATTGTCAATTTTACCTGAGAAAGACAAAGATCTTCCATCTGCTGGTTTACTCTCCCCAAATGCCTACAGTAGCCAGGAGCCCAGAACTCCATTCAGTTCTCCCACATGGGTGGCAGGGACCCAAGCACTTGTGCCATCACCTACTGCCTTCCAGGGTGTGCACTGGGGGGAAGTTGGATCAGAAGCAGAAGAGCCGGGATTTGAACCAGGTACTCGGATACAGGATGGAGGTATCCCAAATGCCTGCTCCTGAACAGGGGTCTTCAAAGGGAGACACATTAAGGCAGGCTACATGGAGGAAGGGGCATTTGCATTGGACCATGGACACGATGGGCTGTCAGCCTCCACGGAGACTGGTGAGCAACAAAGCTTCCGTCTTCCCCTGAGCCCGGCAGGCAAGGAAGTCTACAGCAAGAATCCCACTTCCTTGGGAGGAGGGGAGAGAGAGAGGTTACAGACCAACGTTGCGTTTCTGGAACCTGCCATCCGACAGGGAAGCTGCGCACTATTGATAGAAACAAATATGGCGAGGAAGAGAAAGCTGCTATACGATGCTAATAATAGCCGGCCCTTATTGAACGCTCGCCACGTACCGGGGACGGAGCTGTGAATCCACTTAATCTCCACAACTGCTCTATCAAGTGGGCACTATTATTAGCTTTGTTTAGCAGATGAAAACAGCGACCCAGCGAGGTTTAGAAGTTTG